ATTTTCAAATGATAATTTACGTACGTACAATTTCGCGGTCGTGGAAGTAACAGTTTTATACATTAGAGGAATTTAGTTGGAAACACAGTCGTTATATCTTAGCGAATAGCGTTATTGGACATTATAATTAGGTGTTTATAGTCGTATATACTGTTAACTATATAATTACATTATTATTATTATTATTTAACAACGCAGATATCAATTGTGGATTTAAACAAAATTAGTAGTAATAGTAATGGGTGATTTTGAAATGGATGCAAAAAGATCCATTTCAGAACTGGAAATAGATAAAAAAATGTATAATTTATTAAATCGTTGAGGTGATTTCCAACTTAGATGGGTGACAGAGTGTAGACATTTACAGACGCCAAATGTAGAACATTTTGGGTTTATCTAACGGTTTTCATTTAAAATTTGAAAAATATCCCGTACTAATAACTGATATAATTATATGTTAGGCGTTCATTATTTGCATCAAATATCGATACAGCTATGCATAAGCTCGAAAGCAAATTACATTATATATAGTATATGAAAGTCTCTACATTGCAAATCATTATTTCNCATTCTAAGTTATTGTCAAAAATTCCATCATTTACGAGACATTAAAAAATATAATCGAGATGATCTACTAGGTTTGCATCATTCAAATAATAAGAAATTCATAGCAGTATAAACATTTTATTGTTGTTAGATATAGATATACATACATTAATTAATAGATTAATAGAATTAATAGATTACCCCCATATTCCGTAATAAGTTTTCATATAATTGATAATCTACACCTAAAAGAATGTTAATTCTTATTGCTCCAACTACGTCCCTAACGTCAATATTTGAAAATAGTATGTCTTCATCTTTCTTACTTGCTGTGTGATAATTGTTTACCATTACCAATGGAGATGATACATTTAATTTGTCACTTGTTTCCGACTTATTTCCAGGGTAAAAATATTTTTCTGTAGATTGGTCAGATTGGTTTACACCTCCTTCACCATTATTTTCTTCAAATACTTCTAGTTCGCCTTTATCATTTTCATTATTTTCTATTTCGTCCTCTTTCTCAAATAACGATAAAATGTTGTGTGTGTCTTTCTTCTGTTTAATTTCCTGAACGTGTGATCTACGTTCATTATTTCTTAATTTATCTTGCCTTATAAAGACTTTACTGCATAAACGACATTGGAAATAATGATTTTATGTATAATAGCATGTCTGCTTAAACCACTCAGCCAACTGAATGTTTGACTACAGATATGACAAATATACATTGTCGAGCTTACATTCTTAAGTGAAATGATACATAGGTAGGATATTTCTCATTATATTACCTACTTTCATTTACCCCCCTTTTATCCCCTTTTATTAAAAATTACTCCCCTTTTATCCCCCTTTCATCTGAAATTACCCCCTTTTATCCCCCTTTCATTAAATAAAAGGAGGGTAATTTTCAATTGTCGATGAAAGGGGGGTAAATGAAAATAAAAGGGGGGTAATTTTTAATGAAAGGCGGATAATTGTCGATGAAAGGGGGATAATTGTCAGTTAAAGGGGGATAATTGTCGATGAAAGGTGGGTAACTGAAAATAAAAGGGGGGATATAAGGGGGATAATTTTTAATGAAATGGGGATAAAAGGGGGTAATTTCAGATGAAAGGGGAGTAATTTTTAATAAAAGGAGGTAAAAGAGGGGTAATTGTAAATGAAAGTAGGTAATATAATGAGAAATATCCTACCTATGTATCATTTCACTTAAGCTCGACAATGTATATTTGTCATATCTGTAGTCAAACATTCAGTTGGCTGAGTGGTTTAAGCAGACGTGCTATTATACATAAAAATCATTATTTCCAATGTCGTTTATGCAGTAAAGTCTTTATAAGGCAAGATAAATTAAGAAATCATGAACGTAAATCACACGTTCAGGAAATTAAACAGAAGAAAGACACACACAGCATTTTATCGTTATTTGAGAAAGAGGACGAAATAGAANTTAATTACTCACGTGTAATATCCACCTTCTCTAACTGTAGTATTGAAAAATATTGTTTTATAATATCGCAAAATATATCAGGTAACAACAAAATCTACAAAATAATATCCAAACCAAAAAAAAAAACACGCGTCTTCTTTTTTTTGGCCTTCACTCAGAGGGTATTTAGCCAGCTTCTTATGTACTTGTTTTTTATTCAAGGGAATGCATCGTGAAGTGCATCTGAGAATGGTTACTCATATTCCCTCGATTGATCCATATATCTTGAGCGGGAGTGCAAATGGGGTTAGTAAACAACACAACACAGGATAGACTTTTCTCGCTCGGGGGCAACAGCCGAGCATTACACACACCGAAACGTTGCCTCGGATTGGAGAGAAGCACCCAGGTTAAAAAAGATGGGGTCATAGGTTTTTCTGAAATAAATTACAAATGGTTTACATTTTGACACAGCAAAGATTTAAGAACTTTAACAGTATGGAAATCGTTTGATAATTGAGTTTTTCTATCAAAGTGGTAATCGAAAGGGGGTTTTGCATGCCTGCTTCAATGAACAGAACGTCAAATTGTGAAATCGGCACAGAACACCATGAAATCGCACGGAAAAAAGTTAATTTTAGCAAACGGAAATAAGTTTTGATAGCAAT